CCGGAAACCAATGAGCCGGCCGGCGGGGAGGGCGCTCGCAGACCACGGCGCCCGTCTGACCACCTCCTGCTCCCGCCAAGCCGAAGACGGGCTCCAGGAGAACCAAGACTTTCCTGGAGTGATTCATCTGTTGAGAGAGGGCGGGTCCTGCCGCGCACCTGTTCCCTCCTTCTGGCTCCCCTCTCCCCCGCTGGCGATGGGCCCGCCTACGTGCGACCCGCCGGGAGGGGCTGGTCCAAGCCAAGTCCCGGCTGGGAGAGGCTGGTCGGGAGCCCTTGACTTTCCCGCTCGCATTGGGGTTCCTTTAGGCCGGTGGTTGGGGCGCCGTGGATGTTTGGTGCCTCTGGATTAGATGGCTTAAAGAACCAAGCGAATCCCTAGGAGGGGGGCCTTATCCTCCTGGAGACGCCCGAGGGGAGTCTGACCCTGGAAAAGTTGGAATTCTACTGGGAAAGTTCTTACCGCATCCCCACACCCCCGTTCCTAACTTGTGGTTTGGCCCCCGGGCATCCCTCACCCCAGGTCAGGACTCCGGAAACTCTGGCTCTTAAAGGGGCCGAGCAGAGGCGCGCGGCCAAAGACCAGTTTCCGCCTAAAGATTCCCAGGATCTAGCCACCTGCGCCCGAGGGCGGAGCGGAGCGTGCCAGGCAGGCTGCGCGGCGGCCGCGTTACTCTGCTGCCTCCTTGTGACGACAAGGGGAAGTGCCCCGGATAGTGAACTTGAGAAAAATAGCCTACTTTCCTTGGGAGAAATGTTCAAGTGCTTTGCCCATTTTAAAATTAAGTTGCTTGTATTTTGTTGAGTTATAGGAGTTATTTATATATTCTGAATATTAATCGCTTGTCAAATAGGGTTTACAAATATTTTCTCCCATTCTCTAGGCTTTTCTTCACTTTCTTGATAGAATCCTTTGATACACAAAAGTTATTAATTTGTTGAAATTGAGTTTATCTAGTGTTCTCTTTTTTTTTTTTTGAAGAGTTTTGTTTTTGGTTTTGTTGTGTGTGTGTGTGTGTGTGTGTGTGTGTGGTTTTTTGTTTGTTTGTTTGTTTTTGCTGTAGGGCGCCTACGCTAGCCAGAAAGGCACAGAGACAGAGAGACAGAAAGGAGAAATCACCCCCCGGGGGGATGGCCACACCGCAATCCCTTCTCCTCCATTCTCCTCTCGGGATCTTGGGCACGCACGCACACACGCCTGTAGTGAGTTTAAGCCACTGGGTCCAGGACTCGAACCGTAGTTGACTACATGGTAGTCCAGCAACATAGCCATTTTGCCAACTGCTGATCCCTCTAGTATTTTCTTTTGTCACCTGTGCTTTCAATGTCACATTATGCGATTGTTGCCAAATCCAATGTCATGGAGATTTCCCCATTTTTTCCTAAGAGTTTCATAGTTTTTGCTCTTATTTTTTAAAAAAAAGTTTTGGCAGAGAGTACATGTGCACACCAGGGAGAGAGAGAGAGGGAGAAAGAGAAAGTGAGAAACCATCCCTCCTTTTGGGGTTTTGGGCACATAGACTAATGCACCCAGCATGTTTTTCAAGTTGCTGAGTTGGGAACCAAATTGCAGTGGGGGTGTGTGATCCGGCCACTTTAACCACTGTGCCGTGGGCTGGTTCCCTAGTTTTAGCTCTTAAGTTGAACCTTAGAACCATTTTAATTTCTGTACGTGGTATACAATGAAGATTCAACTTCAATCTTTTGCACGTGAATATCATTTTCTCATATCATTTGTTGAAAAGAATGTCCTTTCCCTATGAAGTGGTATTGTCTCCCTTATCAAAAATTGATTGGCCAGGGACCAGCAGTTAGGGTAATGGCTATGTCGCTAGACTTCCATGTAGCCAACTGCAGTTCAAGTCCTGGACCCAGTGGCTTAAACTCACGCCGGGCACGTGTGCATGTGTGCCCAAGATCCCAAGAGGAGAATGGAGGAGAAGGGATTGCGTGGCCATTCCCACTGGGGGGTGATCTCTTGCTTTCTATCTCTTTGTCTCTATCTTTTTGGTGAGCGCACGCACCCTATAGCAAAAAACCTCTCAAAAAAAAAAAACTGATTGGCCATAATGTGAAGAGTTATTTCCTGGTCTGTATTTCTACCCTTTGTCAGTACTGTTTTTATTTCTGTACTAAGTTCAGAGTTGGGAAGTGTGAGTCCTCCACCTTTACCCTTCTGTTTCAGGATTGCTTTGGCTAGGGGGCCAGGCAGTGGCTGAGTTCTAGTGCAACTGGGTCCATAGAGGAAAGATTCTGGGTTTGCATCCAGTGACTTCCTGTGGATCACAGCATGAAGACCTATTAGGGGTCTCTCTCTCTCTCTCTTTATCTCTTTCTCACAGAATAAATAAATAAATAATGCTTTTGGCTATTGGGGGCCCCTTGGAATTTTTTGTTTCTTTAGAGAGAGATTTTTTTTCTGTAGGGTGCATGTACTCCCTGAAGAGACAGACAGTGAGAAGTCACGCCCTGGGGGAATGGACACACCACAGTTCCTTCTCCTCCATTCTCTTGCGCCCAGCATGGGTTTAGAGCTGCTGGGTCCAGGATTCGAACTGTGGTCAACCACGTGGGAGTCCAGAGCCTTAACTACTATGAAACATGCTAGCCCCATGCCCCTTGGAATTCTATATGAAGCTGAGGATCTGCTTACATTTTTTGGAAAAAGGGTGTTGGAATTTGGATAGGCGTTTGTGTTAAATCTGTAGATTGTTTTGGGTGGTATTGGCATCTTAACAATACATCTTTTAAGAACATAGGATGTCTTTCTGTTTCTTTCGATACTATATGATAGTCTTTCGTACTTCTCAGTGCACAGTGAAAACTTTATTGGTTAGACTTATTACTAAGTATATAAATTTTAAAGATAATATTGTAAATGGAACTTTTGAAAAATTTCCTCTTCAGATTGTTCATTGCAGGTCTATAGAAACATGACTTTTGTTTTTGCATGTGAGAAGTCACCCCCAACCTAGGGAGGATGGGCACACCGCAGTCCCTTCTCCTATTCTCCTCTAGGGATTTTGGACACACACACATGCGTGCCTGGCATGTTTTTTCAGCTGCATGGGTCTGGGACTTGAACTATGCATGGGACCCAGCCACCTTAACCACCACATCACCGCCCAACCCAGCTGTTTTTTGGGTTTCCTGTGTATAGCATCATATCACCAATGAACAGAGGTACTTTTACCTTTTCCTTTCTAATTTGGATGCTTTGTATCTCCTGTTCTTGTCTGATAGCTTTGGGTAGAACTTCCAATACAGTGTTGAAGAGCATCCCTGCCTTATCCCTGATCTTAGGGAGAAAGCTTTTCATCTTTCCCCACTAGGTATGACATTAGCTGTATTTTCCCTAAATACCCTTTATCATGTTGAAGAATTTTCCTTTAATTTTTAGTAGTTTAGGCTTTTTTAAAAACTTTTTTATTTTTTTAATTTTTTATGAAAGGGTGTCGGATTTTGTCAAATGCCTTTTCTGCATCAGTTGTGCTCCCCCATTCTGTCTGTGATGCAGTACATCGATTGGTTTTCCTATGCTGAGCCACCCTTGTATCCTATAAAAATCCTACTTGGTCATGATGAATAATCCTGTTAATATGCTATTGGATTTGATTTGCTAGTATTTTGGTAAGCATTTTTGTATCTGTATTCATAAGGGATGTTAGTCTGTAATTTTCTGTTCATGATGTCTTCATCTGGGTTTGGTGTTAGGATAATGCTGACTGCATGTAAGAATTTGAGAAGAATTTGTGCTAATTCTTTTCTTTTTTTTTTTAAGAGATTTTGCCGTAGGGTATTTGTGCTCATCAGAGAGAGAAACAGACAGACAGACACAGTGAGAAAGTGATAAATCCCCCCCCCCCCCAGGTGGTATGGCCACACTGCAATCCCTTCTCCATTCTCCTTCTGGGATCTTGGGCACACAAGCATATACACCTGGTGTGATTTTCACCAGGTCCGGGACTTGAGCCACTGTTGGCCATGTGGGAGTCCAGTAACATAACTGCTATACCATCTGCTGGTCCATTAATTCTTCTTTATTTTTTTATTTATTTTTAATTTTTTTAAATTTATTCATTCATTTATTTTAATTTGACCAGAGCGAGACAGAGAGAGAGGAAGAGAAAGTGGGAAAGCAAGCCACTAGGTCCAGGACTTGAACCATGGTCGGCCATGTGGGAGTGTCCAGCACCTTAACCACCACGCCACCTGCTGGTCCCCATTAATTCTTCTTTAAATGTTTGGTTAAACTAATTCCTTAGGTCATCTGGTCTAGGATTCTTGTTTGCTAGGAGGTCTGAAGTGACTGATTCAGTCTCTTCACTTGTCTATAAAAAAACTATAGATCTGCTGAGATTTTCTATTTCTTCTTTTTAATTTTATAATTTCTTTTTCCTAAAATTATTTAATTTTATGTATTCATTCATTTATTTTAATTTGACCAGAGAGAGAGAGAGAGGGAGGGAAAGTGAAAAAGTAAGCCACCCAGGTCCAGGACTTGAACTATGGTCAGCCATGTGGGAGTGTCCAGTGCCTTAACCACCACGCCACATGTTTTAATTTTATAATTTCTCATTTACATGTAGTTGTACATCTTTGTGGGGTACTACATGGTTTCTCAAAGCGTGCCTGCAGTGTATGATAATCAAATCAAGGATATTGCCATATTGAAAAGATACAAATAACTGAAGTGGCAAATGACCATGGCAACATTATTAATGTTACAGAAAAAAGGATTATAAAAGAACAACTGTATAACAACAAATTAGATAATATAGACGGAATTGACAAACTCCTTGAGACACACGTTTACTTAAACTGTTCATATTCACTCTTACAGTCCTTAGTGATAATGTTGCCATGTTCATTTCTGATTGTAGTTATTTGTGTCTTTTGTTTTTTTATCAGTCTAGCCAAAGGTTTGTCAATCTTGTTCATCTTTTTTAAATAATGATTTTATTTTACTTATTACCATCTTTTTTTTTTTTTTTTTTTAATTTGACCAGAGAGAGGCAGAGAGAGAGAGGGGGAAAGTGAGAAAGCAAGCTGCTTGGGACTTGGTCTGGCACTCAAACCACAATCAGTCATGTAGGAGTCTGGCACCTCGGCCACTATGCCACTGCTGGCCCTAATCTTGTTCATCTTTAAAAACGCAAAAACAAAAACATTTTTGGTCTTCGTGAAATTTTTCCCTCTGTTTTATTTGTCTCTGCTTTGATCTTTGTCATTATTATTATTTTCTTCCATCTGCTAATTTTGGGTTCTGCTTGTTCTGTTTGTGGTTCCTTAAGATATAAGTTAGATTCTGGGGACCAGCAGTTAGTGTAATGGCTATGTTGCTGGACTCCCATGTAGTCAACCGTGGTTCACGTCCTGGACCCGGTGGCTTAAAACTCACGCTGGGTGCATGTGCGTGTGTGCCCAAGATCCCAAGAGGAGAACAGAGGAGAAGGGATTGCAGTATGGCCATCCCCCCTGGGGGGTGATTTCTCACTTTCTGTCTCTCTGTCTCTCTCTGTCTGTCTGGCGAGTGCACGCGCCCTATAGCAAAAACCTCTCCATAAAAAAAAGATCTAAGTTAGATTCTGTGCCAGCCAGTGGAGGGATGGTTAAGGCAGCTGGATCCCATATGGCCAACAGCACAGTTTGGGTCCTGGACATGATGACTCGAAAAAGTTGAAGAAGTAAATAAATAAACCTTAAAAATGCACAGGACGTGTGTGTGTACACAAAATCCCAAGAGGAGGGTAAATAAGAAGGGATTGTGGTGTGGCCATCCCCCTGGGGGTGCTTTCTCACTTTCCTTCTGTCTCTCTGTCTCTCTCCTATGAGTGTACATGCCTTATAGCAAACAAAGACGTAAGTTAGGTTATTAACTTGAGATCTTTTAAAGCATAAAATTCCCCCCGAGCACTGCTTTTGCTGCATTCCATAGAGTTTGGTATACTGCGTTTTCATTTTAATTTGCCTCCTAAGTGTTGTAGAATTTACTCTGTGATTTCCTCTTTGACCTATTTTTTTGTTTAAGAGAATGTTGCTAAGGGCCCAGCAGATGGCATAACAGTTACATTGCTGTTCTCCCACTCAGTCCACTACGGTTTGAATCCTGGACCCGGTGACTTAAAACTCACTCCGGGTGTGTGTGTGTGTGTGTGTGTGTGTGTGTGTGTATCCCAAGAGGAATGGACAAGAAGGGACTGTGGCTTGGCCATCCCCCTGAGGGGGTGATTTCTTGCTTTCCATCTTGCTTTCTCTCTCTCTCTGTGTCTCTCTGGCGAGTGCACAGGCCCTCTGACAAAAAAACTCTCCAAAAAAAAAGGAGAGAGAGTGTTGTTAGAAGTTAGCCTAGAATTCAGAGCTAAACCGTAGTTATGGGTAGTTTGGGTGGAATACCTAGAAACAGCACTGCTTTGGGTGTGTCTAATGGGGTGTGTCCAATGCGGTGTTTCTGGAAGGGGTAAAAACAGTCTGAGGAGGCTAAATTAGGAAGTAGGCACAATCCAATCAACAAGTGGTCTGGAGAGAATAAATACAGCAGACAAGTGGATTTCTAGAGAGACTATTTATTGTTAAAAATCTCTGGATAGGAGCCAGCAGGTGGCACAGTGCTTAAGGTGCTGGACTCCTACATGGCTGATTGCAGTTCAAGTCCTGGACCTGGTGGCTTGAAAATCATGCTAGGTGCATATGCTTGCACACCCACAATTTCAGGAGGAGGATAGAGGAGAAGGGATTGTAGCATGGCCATCCCCCCTGGGGGTGATTTCTCATTTTTCCTCTCATTGTCTGTCTCTTCTCTGGCAAGCAGACACACTCTATGACAAAAATCTAAAAAAAACAGACAAACAAAAACAAAACCCAAAAAAACCCTCCAAATAAATGAAGATACTACCAGCGGGCCAGCTGGTGACGTGGTGGTTAAGGTGACTGGATCCCACATGGCCAACTGCAGTTCGAGTCCTGGGCCCAGAAGCTTGAAGAACATGCTAGGCACATGTGTGTACATACCCAAAAATCCTGGGAGGGGAATGGAAGAACAGGAATTGTGGCATGACCCTTCCACCCTGGGGATGATT